TTGAAAGAAACGTGGTTTTGCTCAATTTGACAGCGAGAAAAATATGGAAGCGAAGTTGATTGTTTCGTCTTGCCTCGAGAACATATTTTGTGGAGCTGAAGAGCTATYGCTGGAAAAAGTTTGAAGCTGCTGACTATTTCCTTGAAATACTTGTATTCTTTATCGGTCGGCACTTAAGTCATGAGAAAGCACGTCGCTAAACAACCGAAGCTGTCCTGACGGAGGACGCGTGTTGTAGCACCTGAGGGAATTCTCTTTGCGGTGACCAACSAGAGATTGTCATGATATTACGATCAGAAAGACCTGCATGAGACCCTAGGGTTATGCCTGTGGCCCTGACACAAGTCAAAATTTGGAACTTCGTCTTCAGAATACATTTTTGGGGGCGTTTTTTTCCTCAAAAGAAACTGTAAATTTATAGATTTTTGAACTTGTACCGGAAAAACACGAAAGTTGTGACGTCACAACTGTGTTTACATAGCCTCATGCAAACATGGCTATCAACCAATCACAGCGTACGTACTATTCAATTTATTTTATAACTAATTATTTTATAAAACCCAATAGGAGCACCACTTGTATTTAAATAGTCTGGGATAAAAACACAGTAGACTTTGGGATTTTCTTATTACAAGATTTACAACGTACGTACAGTATTGAAGCACTACATTGCAGCACTGGACACGATGAGTGATCTAAACGAAGCTGTTATTGGACCATTGATGAGCCTACTGAGAGCCTTGCACGAGTTGTTTAGAATGGTGTACGACATCATACAACTGCTGCTGTTCAACCAGGTACAGGAAAGAGATGAGGGTAATGAGAAAGTACCTGAAGAGAATAGTGAAAACGTCTAAAACACGGGTAAGGAAAAAATCATTATATACACCCGTCAATAATTCCAGTAAATAATATTTTATTCAACTGAACCTGCTACTATACAGTTTTCAGTGCGCAAATTGTTATGAGCTGCTCGGCGCTACATGATCGCTGAAGTGAAGGGAAACCCACGGAAATTCAAAGACATTCATAAAAGAATACAAAACAAGTCCCTAGAAATAGTCAAAATCAAAATATTGTTAAATTGTCAGAACTGTTTTCATCTTGTAGTGAAATGCAACATGTTTCAGAAAAAGTATTGTCAAGCGCTCTGAATTTAGCGAAAATATTTTTTTTAGTGCAACTCGTACCCAGTGCTTAGTTCCTTACAATCACAGGAAGCCCAAGCTTGGTTTCTGTGGTGTCCTGTTATAAGGAAATGTATGG